GTGGTATAGAAAAACATTTTCGTCAACATGTATTTGAAGATTTTCAATAAGAAACTCTTTGTGATCATGAAGCTGGTAGTAAAACAGATTACACAAAAAAAAAAGAAAAGTGTCAATAACAAAAATAATTTTTCTATTAGGTCAATTATACGGTTTAGAAAAATTCTGGACATTTTTAAAATATTCTCGACAAAAACCAAAAATCAATCCAAAACTTGAAGAAATTTTAAAAAACTATAAAAATCTTGAAGATTTTCGTGTTGATGGTGCATCATTTCCACAACAATTTTTCCCAACAAAATCAAATTATAGTAATTGAAAAACATTTTGTTTTTTCTATAATATAAACAATTTCTTTATAGACTGTTCCAGCACCCAAAGCAATTGTTGCTGCAGTAGCAAAGAACAGTGATACATCAAATTCATTAAAACCCAATGGTGAACAATATCTGAACGGTGCTAAACTTTATACACATTTTGTTTTTCTTTTATTTTGTCTAAAATAAAAAATGGTGCTCATATTTTTTCAAGTGAATTTCGGTTTATTTAAAAGTATGCATGTATTTTTTTTTTGTTTTCAAAGTTTATTGTCATTTAATCATTTTCTATGTATTTTACTACATTGGTTTATTATTGTAGTAGATAGATAGATTAAATAGTGATGCATTTTCTTTTTCTATCGATAGAGATATGAAGAATTCTCATATGGTTTCGTTTTGTTTTTTGAAACTATTTGCTAATAAAAACAAAACAACTAAACAAATTTAATTTGATTATACTTATGCATGTTTTTCTTTTAGAAGAAAAAAAAGACTATGGCTTCATCTCGTTTATTTAATAATATTTTATTTCGATAGAAGAATTTGGTGTTTTAGGAAGAATTGGTATTGGTTTAGCTATTATTGGTGGTGTGATTAATTGTACGCTTTATAATGATAAATATGAAAAGATTAAAAAAAACCTTGTTTTCTTTAAATTTGAATATATTCTAGTTGATGATGGTCATCGAGATGTTATTTTTGAACATTTTCAAGGTGTTAAACTAGATGTTATTGAAGAAGGAACTCATTTTATGATTTCATGGCTTCATAGACCAATTATATTTGATATTCGTACACGACTACGATCTGTTCCATCAATAACAGAAATAAAAGGTATAAAAGCTAGAAGAAAACAGTCAACTTCAGGAGAGAGGTGAACATGAGGAAAATGTAAGCTCGCGAAAAAAAGAAGGTAAATACGATGTCTATTGAAACATCAATGAATGTATATGGCTGAGGTATCTTAAAAAATTTTGCGGCCATCGATGGCGACTCAACTGATCGGTTTACACCTTTACACTCTCATCATTCATCAATCTTAGGATACTTCATAAAACTCAAAACGAGAAGTCTCCGCTATTTTTTCTTCGTATAAATGATATATGCATAAATTACATTTTATTATTTTTATTTTAGATTTACAAACAATTAATATAACATTACGTATTCTTTATCGACCAAGAGCTGAACTTTTACCAAAAATTTTTTGCAAATTTGGGTTTAGATTATGAAGAACGTGTTTTATCATCGATTATTAATGAAGTTTTAAAATCTGTTGTACTAAGTCTCAATTTGATGCTTTTGAATTGATTACACAACGTACACTTATTTCTCAACGTGTTAGTGAATTATTAACAGAACGTGCTGCTCAATTTGGTTTATTACTTAATGATATTTTAATTGTAAGATACAACAAAAAAGAGTCTCCAGTTGATTATATAGTTTTTTTCTTTAAATTAGACACATTTAAGTTTTAGACCTGAATTTGCAAGTGCTGTTGAATTAAAACAAGTTGCACAACAAGATGTTGAAAAACAACGATTTTTAGTCGAAAAAGTAAATCAATAAGAATAAAATTTGTATGAGTTTGTTTTTTTTTTGATAAAAAAAAACAGACGGAACAAAGTCGTCAAGCAAATGTTATTGCAGCAGAAGGTGATGCTCGTGCAGCTGATTTGATTGGCAAAGCTTTAGATGAAGTTGGTGATGGTAAATTTTTGAATATCTCTTATTATTTTGTCTTACTTTATTTTAATATTCATGTTAGGTTTGATCGAACTTCGACGAATTGAAGCCGCTGAAGGTATTACAAATCAATTATCAAAATCAAGAAATAGCGTCTATTTACCACATGGTCCTCAAATGTTACTTAACATTACTGGTGCTATGCAATAAAAATATTGTTTTTTTTGTTTTCATAGTAAACTAATGAGATTGATTTAGGAAAATAAAAAGAACATATAAGAGTTTTTTTTTGTATGTGTGTGTGTGTATTTATATAATATTGAGAATACTAAAGCATTGTATTATCCTGTTTTTTGTTCGATTAAAGAAAAAGAAGATCAGATCAACAATTCTCTAGATGATATTAAAGATTCGAGTACGATTGAAATGATGAATTTCTATAATCTCTTTCGACGTTTTATATTAATTCAATCATTTGTACGTGGTTGGAGAAATCCATTTCATTTACAAGAAATGTTTACCTATCGACGTGAAAAAATTGGTGTAAGAGATGAGTGTTTAGAAATTGTACCAGCTGAAAATGTACAGGAAAATACTGTTGAAATAATTAAACAAGAAACAAAAAGGTAATCAAAATTATATAAATGCTCGATTTCGCTCACCACTTGCCAATTATTTACCACATTTGGTAAGTAATTAAAATTATTTTAATCATTTAATTAATATTATCTTTTTTCTTTTGTTCTATTTATTTAAATGGGTTCCATCTCAAGTAGCTACAGCTCATTTTCAACTTGTTCTATCACGTGATCAAGGTTTTAGTCGACGAAGGTTATTTAATGCAGTCCCATTAATCAATCAATATCCTATAGGTTCAATTCTTCTTGAAAATCCATATTATGGTTTAAGAAAACCACCAGATCTACTTTATTGGTGTCAAAAAATGAAATTAACATCAGCTATTCTACATGGTTTTTCTCTTGGTGGACATATGGCTTCATTAACATTTACAAAGTAAGATTCAATTCTATTATTTGATCTATTTAATGAATGGATATATAGTATCTATCATAATTTCAAATAATGATTCAAGTAGAGCAAACCATATTACAAAAAGAATATAAATTAAAAACATTGATTATTTGATTCCCTAAGTTAGGATTTTTTTAGACAACCCAAAAGCCTATTTCTCAGTATCTAGTACTTGAACTCTCTAGGACAGTTTTTTATTGAGTAAAAGTTGAATAATTTTAGTAGTCATTGTGTATATATTTATATTTTAGATGACCTGATTCACCTTCTCGACAATTCTATGAAAATAAAGCCTCTCAAACATTTTATGATTATTTATGTGAACGAAATCGATCAATAGATTCAAATAAAATTGTTCTCGATCTTATTAAAGATATGATGCGTCTTCTTATGGATGAATTTACATCTTTATATAATTATTCACGTTCAGTTCAATCAAATATATCTAATGGGATGTTTATTGCTTGTACACAGGGTGTGGGTGTGGGTGTGCAAGCATATAATACCTACACCCACACCCTGCATGAAGTCCAGTAATAATTCTTCTATGATGTCCCTTTCTAATCTACTTGATTCATTTCTAACTTTATGCATAACGTGTAACCCATAATAAATGGTTACACTTCGCATTACATATTTTAATCTCTAAATACGTTTTATTAATAATACCGATGAGTGACTAGTGGTTCATCGGCGCCCCTCCGGAGCACCACTCACGACTAGCAGCTCCATTGTGTGGCTCTACAAGCAAGGTGATATGGTTTCTGTATGACAGTGATACTCAACCCGGTATTCACAATCATATCTCTTGAATTTCAACAAAGAAATATCTACTTTTATATCAACGCCCAGGCTATGTTACTACAAACTCGTTAAATGATATTTTCTGTCAAATGTGCTTTGAAAATGTTTTATTCCTGCAGAAAAATTGTTTCTCAGAACTGATTTATAGAAAAACTTTTCGGTTGTTCGCCAGTTTTCGCCAGTATTCCAATCGATCGAATCCCATCGATTGACAATTTGTTTACAAGATATATATTTCAAACTACTAGCGTGGCCATCAGCATAACAATCATAGGTTTTGGCTCTGAAATTTCCTACGCCCCGATGGCTTGCACTAGAAATTGTCTCCACCAGTTTCATCAGGTGATAGGATTGCAAGCTTTTAACGAGAAAGTAGACTGATTCTCACCAGTACTCGCTTGCTTACGCCACTGCTACATACATTACATCAACTGATTTCGGTATGGTGTCCATTCAGCGAAGAGCATTTAAGCGAACAAATTTTCAGCGAAAAAAAGCGCGAAATGCATACTAGCCGAAGTACATTTCGCCTTTACTCGCACTCTGCACCCCACGCTTACTTTGCGCCCTCACCCTCACTCTACAGCCTCAATCAGCACCCTCACTTCCACTTTACACCTTTATCCTCAGCTTGAAAAACCTTTCGCTCATTTTTTTCGCTGTCTTCTTTTCGCTGACTTTCTTCGCTGAAAAGCATTTCGCTGGTTTGCCACTTCTCCACTGATTTCCAGTTGCGTAACAGCAATTGAGTACTCATCCGTACCCTTATAATGAAGTACTTGAGGACCTATGGATACCTCCATAATATAGGACTGGAGGATCTTTGAGTACTCCCATAATATAGAACTTCGGAACCTATGGGTATCTCTATAGAGTAGCCCCTGAGGACCTATGGGTATCCTCAGAATATAGGACTTCAGGACCTATGAGTACCTCTATAGCACAGCCCTTGAGGACCTATGGGTACCTCTATATGGCAGCCGCTGAGGACCTATGGGTACCTCTATATAGTAGCACTTGAGGACCTATGGGTACCTTGTTGATATAGCCCTTGAGGTGTTCTATGCCGATGTTTTATTGACCTTTGACCTGCCACAAAGAAACAAACACATTTTTGTTTTTTTTGTATGATCCTCTCTTCAGTCGAGGGAATAATCAACAATCAACATCATCCCATCAGTAAATAATAATGCATTAATAAAAGTTTCAAAAAAATATCATCATTATACTGTTGAATAGTAATTCATTCAAAATATCAACAACGACCAACATCATTCAATCGGCAATAATAAGTTCAATATAATTAACAATGTAGAAATGAATATTATTCAATAATAATGCATCGTAATGCATGCGAAACTGATGAATAACGAGCAAACAAGGAAATAACCGCTTCAGAAGAGATATATTATCCTGGACGTGAGATCTTTTAAATAAGGTTTTTTGAAAGTGAGTAAAAAATCGATCTACAGATTCGAGAGAATAGTGTCATGCAAATCACTATTTGTTCTAATTTTACAAATAGATATAAAACAATCATTATAATATGTATAGTTTCTTCTAATGATTAGATAATCAATTAGTAACGCTTTTTTTCTGATCACTTATGTCTACTTAAGTTAATTAATGAGTACATAATTTCGATCGAGTATATAACCAGTGTTCTATCATATTCATACTATTTACAATTATTCGCTTGAAAAAAATTTGATTCGAAAGACCTCGCGTTGTTCATACTTCTTTTCTTTCATTATTTATTTTTTTCGTTGTTATTTCTTTTCTTTCTCTTTTTGTTTTTCTTATTATTCTTTTCTTTCAATAAAAGTAATAGAATTTAATAAAATTAAAATAAAAAAAATATTTATATTTATTATATTGATTATTATTCTCTTCATTATTATATATTGAGAAATACATCATTATTCTAAAATAAAAAATTCATGTTGACTTGTCAAATTTAAAGAATTGTTACATCGATTAAAAAAAAGAAACCGAAGAGCTCTATTTTGCCAGTTACTTCCATACTTATCTAGATTTTTAATGACAACACAATTTATTTTTTGCTGGAAAGGAACAGATATTACTCTGCAACTTGGTGATGCTACGGAAACTCGGAGATATCATGCGCATCTTCGAAAAAAAAAACAAAGATTCGAAGTACGATCAGAATCCAGTAAGTCTTCAGAGTACGAATTACATTGTTTCAACCATACATCTACAAAGAATTCTATCTAAAGCACAGAGATAGTACAATCATTTAACATATTGACAATATGAAACATTTAAATAGAAGCTTTATTTCAAATATTATCGAAAACATAGTTTTCTTGTCTTACAAAAAATTGTCGATTCATTGTGATATTTATTTTTTTTTGCTTATCAAATGAATAGTGAATGAGAAACATTCACGGATACAAAACATCTTTAGTAAATTCTAGATAATAATATTTTGTAATGTTTATCCAGATCGTAAGATGATATTTTTACATTTGCAAATAGACATACGTACGAAGTTCGAATTTAAGGATTAATAAATAGAATGAATTTATTTTTGTAATGCACACACAAAAAAAGAACTATATAAATTTCACAGGTGTAAAAGAAAAGTAGCTGTATTATTCTGTCTTTTCTTTTTGTGATAATAATATTTGAACATCTAATTTTAATTGTTTAATTTGTTTACGAACAGTTTCAATTTGTTCTGTAGTTTTCTTTAATTTTTCTTCTTCATCTTGTACAAATCGACTAGAATATAAGTTAATATATAATATTTAAACAACTAAAAAGATCTTCAATAACTCACGTATAAGGCATAATCAATTCACGCATTTTACGTTCATTATTGTCTAATTCATGTAAAAAATGTTTTTTTAATTGTTCAGTTAGATCTATATGTGTTTTATCAATACGATCTTTCATTTCTTGTTTTATGGTTAAACGACGCATTGGTATTAAATATAAACCAAGTATACCAATTAAACCAGCACCTAAAAGACCAGTCCAATCAAATGATGCTAATGTAGCTAAAGCACCTATAATTAAACAAGATATGAAAAAAGAAATGAATTATAATAGAAAAACAAAGCAATCAAACCAAGTCCAACAGCTCCTATTTCAATAGCTGCTGTTCCTAACATTGTTGCACGAACTGATGCAGAAAGATCATCTGCTTGTGCACCAGTTGCTGTTTTTTGTTTATAAAGAATCTTTTTAAAGAAAATATTGTTAGAATTATAAAAAAACAAAATACAAATAAGTATTCATTTACATTTTGACATTGTGTTTGTAATTGATTCAATATTTGTTGACGGGATAGTGAAAAATCTGCATCAACTCCCGATGTCATATTATTACTCGTATATTTAATAATTTGTTGTTGTCTTCGTGAATGAATTGAATTCGTATTAAGATGTTTATTAAGTTGATGAACAGTTCGATTTGATCTTTCAACAAGCCAATCACATAAATGACTTATACATTGATTAATATCTTGTTCAACATTTTTATTAACACGATTATTAAATTGAACTTTTAATTCTGATGAACTACTTGTACTGAATAATGTTGGAATAAGACGTGAAATTTGAATATATTCAAGTAAAAATTCTTCCATATTATCAATCATACGAAAAAAAATATTATCAATTTTATTTAATTGAAGTTTAAAATCATCTAACATTTGTCGACGATATTCATCAACATCACTATGTAAAACAAAAAGTACCTAAAATAAGAAATCATAATAAAAAACTTTCTTTTTTATCTTTATTTTACTTGTTCATCATCAACAAGAATTTGTTTTCTTTCATGAACAATTGCTAAATATTTATCAAATATTCGTTCAGCTATACCAAGTGGATTTTCAAGTTTTATTTTAAGTTTTATCTTGTCATTTAATTCTATACGTAAATAATCTTCTAATTGTTTTAT